TGGGGGTGTTTTTTTGCAAACACCCCTGCACACTCACACCCCAGTCTCTTCTGGGTTTCACCCCAACCCTCTGGATCAAAATGGGATGCTCAGAAGCAGTGCAGGAGAGGAGAGAGAGAGAGCGGGGAAGTCCCGTTGCACAGGTAGAAATCCTGTGCTAAATAGGACAACTTTGTTGAATACAAAGCCATGGTTTGGTGTGCTCAGACACAGCTATAATTAATGCAGATTCAAAGCAAAGAAATCAGATGTTTTCTCATACAAATCTTTATTGTTTTAGCTCATTGTAAGCCAATTAGAGTTTAGTTTCATTTTTAAAGTTGTGCGTGCATATATTCAACTTGGCCAGTTCACTACCATTGGATGGCTAAAAATATCACTGGTTTCAAAAAGATCTAGATCGAGCTCATGTAGAATAAGGCAGTACCTTTGCTACATACTTAAAACAAGACTTGAAGCACAGGCATAGGCGTAGCCCAGGGGGCAGGGGGCAGCTGCCCGCCAATAAAGTAAATAAATAAAAAGTACTTAACTAACTGAGGTTCTGCCCCCCTAACATAAAGCCTGCCCCCCCTAATATAAAGCCTGGCTTCTGCACTGAGTAATATGATTCATGGCTGTGGTCTTGCTAGAGTTACATATTACAACTTACCCAGCCCTAAGCAAAGTTTTTTTTAAAAAAATCTGAGGCTCAGTGTAAAACACAGGGCTTGGGGACCCCTGGAGTCTACCCCCAAAGTGCCCCTGCTAGTAGGGTACAAAAAAGGAAGGGTGATACCCCCTCTGCCAATTTCCTTGCCCCTCTTTGCTCCCCCCCCACAACACACTACAAAGCACCATATTTCCAGATCATGCAAAATGCTGTCTTCACTTATTTCTCCCTGAAATTATTTTTGTGTTTCACCACTAAGAGCAGGTTCAGCACTGTCTGTTAATTAAGATGATTTGGGGAAATACTTGTTGTTGTCCCAATCCCTATAAGTATGTTACAAGGAATGGATCAGGTGTTGGGGAACTGTGGAGCCAGTGTGGTGTAGTGGTTAAGAGCGGTGGACTCGTAATCTGGTGAACCGGATTTGATTCCCTGCTCCTCCACATGCAGCTGCTGGGTGACCTTGGGCTAGTCACACTTCTCTGAAGTCTTTCAGCCCCACTCACCTCACAGAGTGTTTGTTGTGGGGGAGGAAAGTAAAGGAGAATGTTAGCCTCTTTGAGACTCCTTCGGGCAGTGATAAAGCGGGATATCAAATCCAAACTCTTCTTCTTCTTTGACCCTCTAGATGTTGCTGAATTACAGCTCTCATCAGCCTCAGCAGGCATGGTCAGTGACCAGGGATGATGGGAGTTGTAGTTTAGCCACAACCAAAGGATAACCCACCCTTGGAGTGGATTCTTCTCACCTTTTCTCCTGGCTTCTTATGCTGTCGCTCCATGATAGCCTTCCCCAACGTGGTCCTGGCTGGGGCTGATGGAAGTTGACGTGCGAAACATCTAGAGGGACCAGGCTGAGGGAACCTGCCCTATGGTCTATCATAATGGCTGAAGCCAGATACAAGATTGGTAGATCCAGCCTGAAATCTGACCTAATGACCACTTCTGATGGTCTTAAACATCACTTCCACGGAAGATGATAGTAAGACCTGGAGTGGCTTCTCTCAAGTGTCATCGAAATGCTTTGCATTTTCAGTGCTTCTCTGATTAGTCATACAGTCTGAGAATCAAGTAGGGCAGAATTAAGGGCACTTGTAAATCACAGGACCTCACTTTATTAAACTGACATAAGAGGGAATGTATATTCTCAAGTGTACTTCAGGACAATCCCTTTGAGTTAAAATGAAGTATCCACAGGTCCTTAATGATTATTTTGTATTAGTGTTTTATGCAGCAGTGGAAACCCAGTTGTGTCAAGGAGCCCTACAGTTAATACCTGTAGCTCTGGAAGTTTGAGGGAATCTGTTTTTGCATGTTCCTATATGGAACTTTATTCATTTTATGCCTCTTATGATAGTATGCACATCACACTTTAGCTGACCACTGGATTTAGCACTTCTCTTTTGTAGTTCTCAGAAATTTGGAAAAATCAAGTATTTATTTAGATATGTACAGAGGCGGATTTGGGGGAGTGCGGCCGGTTCGGTTGCACTGGGCCCAGAGCCGGGGGGGACCGGGGGCCACAGAGGGCGCTGCAACAGTGATGTAGAATGGAAGGCGGGGGGTACCAGATTTTGGCTTCACAAATTTGAGACCCCAAGGTCTACCACTGAGGTGTAGCTTGTATTAATATTGAGAAGAATTGTTTCACAAATTGCAGATTGATGCAGAAGCGAAATTAGACAGAATGATGGGTAAAAACATGCAAAAGTGACCCTGATCCAAAATGGAATGGTCATCTCTACCTGTAAAAAGAAAATGGTCTTGCCTTAATATATAGCTCAACTGTAAAAGTAGTATTTGCAGGATGCCTCATACTAACAAATTTGCAGTTGCGACGACCCTCGTAATACAGCGAGGGGGGAAAGTATTTGATCCTCTGCTAAATTTGCCTGTTTGCCCTCTGACGAAGCAATGACCAGTCCATAATTTTAATGGTAGGTTTATTGTAGCTGTGAGAGATCAAATACTTATTTCACTCATTATAATGCACATCAATCCTTGACTTTTGTCTTCTGGGTTTCTGGGGTTTTTCCTGTTGTTATTCTGTCTCTCACATCTACATTAAACCTACCATTAAAATTATGGACTGGTCATTTCTTCGTCAGAGGGCAAAGGGGCAAATTTAGCAGGGGATCAAATACTTTCCCCCCTCACTGTAAGCTAGAATCCATATTTTCCCCAGAATATGGCTAAATGACAAAATGACTGCAGAGTACTTCTTTATATCTTAGTGTGTTGTATAGCAAAAATACAATACAAAGTACATTTGTCAGTTTTATTTTTTAAAATTCCCTTATTGTTACTTTTTTCTGTTCAGACTTCCCTGTTCTTGTGTAAATAATAGACTGTTCTCCATATGCTATGGAAAATCCCCTGTGACAGTATATAACATTTTCCCCTCACAGTCCTGCACGTGATGTGTTTGGATAGAAATGTGGCTGAATCTTCAAGCACCCCTCCTCCCCAAACAGATTCAAAAAGCACATGACACTATACTGCATTGATTTGATTTTATCTGTTTTTATTGTTTTGAATTTTATTTATCATGAGCCATCATGGGAGGGTATCTACCCTGAAAGGTGGCCTAAAATTGTGCAACAAGTAACAAAAAACCCCAGGAATATTTGTGTGTTCGTACATATGCAGTCTGGTATTGGGGCCAACAGATGGTTTATTAGAATGCAGTAGTTACCCTGTAACTTTAGTGCTGTTGCGTTGACATGTTTTGTGTAGCAATCTGATCTGCCCTGTTGAAGTAGGTACTTTTTTGTGGGGGCAAAAAGTTTTAACACCTGAGTGGCAGTTGCGTTTCAAAATGTCTCCAGAACCTTGATCCACAACCCAGTTAAATAGCAGTTGTTATAACTTAGGCTGATTTTAGCACACATTCAGTAGATTTCACTGGGACTGAATCATCTCTAAACCAAATCAGTGTGGTGCGGAGGTTAAAGTACCAGACTGGAAGCAAAGATGCTGAGGTGAGGTTCAAATGCCCACCTGGCCATAAAACACACAGAGTAATATTGAGCCAGGTTTATAGCAAACAAAGAATATGGGGCAAGTTTCTTGTATACTGTATACTGGTCCAAATGATCTAGAAACTGTGTAAAAGACTCAGTAACATGAAAAGGCTAGGCACTGAACTTTCAATTCAGCCAGCTGATTAAATGTGTTTTTATTTCAGTTAATTGATTTACATTATAATCAAGCAGTTGGTTAATTTAAATAAATCTGCATACTATGATAGCTTCAAAGTAGTTAATTTTTCAAGGCTTTTGAGGTAAGTATGAGAATTCGCCATTTAATAACAAAAGCATCCCATCCTTCGGACCCAAAACCAGGATGTGTGTCTTCTGGGACACACTCTGGGGTGAGTCACGTGACACACATCTTACTCCCGCCCCGCACCTAAAAAGGCATGTTTTGGGGCACCGCGCAAGATCACAGCCCTGAAAAAGTGCTTGGGGGAGGTGCTTTTGGCACCCAAACTGGCCGTCACAATCTCATATGAAAACATGGGATGACCCTTTTTTTTTCCCTGGGGCACTTGACAGCTATGCAAACATCTACCACTCACTGTTAGAAGATAAGGTCCATATTAATATTTTCTGTACTATAACAATGCACCAAAATAATAAAAAATGACTTCAGAAAAGAAATGTGTGCTCCTCAGTCTCAGCCCAACCAATCAAAACATGCCTCCATCAATTGATACTTCCACCCATAGATAAATCAACCAAAGTTTCAATAAATTTGCTTGTTGGTGGATTTGTAAAGCCAGTTAAATTATTCATTTTCCATAATTTTAAATGGGCTCGAACATCTCATGGCCCCACTGGCCAGCAAGATTGTGTGGCCCACTGCAGCTGCCACAGGCCATGACTGTACTTTCCCTACGATCTACAGTGAGGCCCAGACCAGACATTTTACCCAATTGGAAGTGAGTGGCGGGGGGGGGGGCTCCATTTTACAGCCACTTTTTATGGTGCATGGCCATCAGCCTTGGCCTTTAAAATGTTATGTTTGGCTATACAGTGGTACCTCTGGATGCGAACGGGATCCATTCCGGAGCCCCATTAACACCCTGAAGCGAACGTAAGATGCACATGCGTGTGACATTATTTTGAGCGTCTGCGCATGCGCGAGCGGAAAAACCCGGAAGTAATGCGCTCTGTTACTTCCGGGTCGCCGCGGAGCGCAACCCGAAAATATTTAAGCTGAAGCGTATTCATCCCGAGGTATGACTGTACTCATTTGTATTTAGGGAAAGCAGTTTTCTCCTGAAAAATACAGCTTTATAGGGGAATTTGATTTGATTGTGTGTTTCCTTCTTCTCCCTTCTCCAGGAATGGAATCTCAAACTGCCGGATGCGGACAGACAGCGAGCAGTCCTGCGGCTCCCCGGTGGTGAGCGGCGACCCAAAGGAGGACCACAACTATAGCAGTGCCAAATCTTCCAACCACCGGAGCACGTCGCCCACGAGTGACTCCATTTCCTCTTCCTCCGCCGACGACCATTACGAGTTTGTCACTAAAGGCAGCCGGGACAGTAGCGAGGGCAGCGAGGTCAGCTTCCACAGCCACGAGAGCCATAGCGAAGCGGAAGAGGAGGACAAAAGGCAGAGCTCCCGGAAAGAGACCAAGGATTCTTTAGCTGATAGCGGCTACGCCTCTCAGCACAAGAAACGTCAGCATTTGCTGAAGGCAAAAAAAGTACCGAGTGACACGCTGCCTCTTAAAAAGAGGCGTACGGAGAAACCCCCCGAGAGCGACGACGAGGAGATGAAAGAAGCGGCCGGATCGCTCCTGCACTTGGCGGGAATACGGTCTTGTTTGAACAACATCACCAATCGGACGGCAAAGGGGCAGAAAGAGCAAAAGGACACCACGAAAAACGAGAACAAATCCATTGATTGAACTTATAAAACAATTTCGTTTCAGCACGTCAGGTGAATTCTAATGATTTGTGGCAATATCAACAAATATTTTCTTTGTTTCGTTTTTCTTTTCTTTCACCCCCTCCTCCTCCTCTTCTTCTTTTTTTTTTGTGTGTGTGTGTTTTTTCTTTTTTTCGAACCCTTGAGTTTTTTTTGTTTTTAAATTTTTTAAAGGAGATGGAAGCCATAGAACTCATACTGATACTCAACTAATTTTACAAAAGCTTTTCATTACATGAAGACAAAAAAAGAAAGAAAGAAAGTAAAAGCCAAAATTGCCATTGCTTTCTCCAGCTTTGTCAGAAATGCATGGTTGAATATGCTGTGACGTCACCAGTTAATGTGAGAGGAATAAAAATTCGGCATTTGGAAATCTCTTATAACCTAGAAGAAATTGGATAATTTGGAAATCGTTCAGGCCAGGCTGTAAGAATTGAAAGTGGAAAAAAAGGCCTTATGATTGGGTTTGTGTGTGATGTGTCTAGAGATTTGGGGGAAGTCAAAAGGCACACACAATATCCTCAGAACCAAGGATCATATATAGTGGCATTTGCTTGCGGTTGTGCCATAGAAATCTTGGAATAGCCACTAATGACAGCTGCTCATACAGTAATGATCTATTAGTGCTTCATGTACTGTATATGGCTCAAAATGTGAAGACTTAATTTATAAATTATGGAATACTGAACTGTGTATGCAATGAGTTTCAGTGAAATAAAGAGGAAGGGGGGGAGGGGGACTAGTGATATTCTTTAATCAATTAATTGTCTTCTATATTTAAATTAAAAGAATGTTTTATAAAAAGCCATAAGCCTGAAGATTGGCACTGCCTGCAAAAATATTATGGGAAAACAAGCTATGAGTTCTTAACTGCCTGAGTGAAAAGCAATCAAATCTGAAGAAAATTATGAGTAGATATTTAAGGAGGATCAAGATGAGAAAACCTTTTCTATAAGTCACAAAGATTTGATCTCACTAGGGGGGAAATGCTACAAAACCTGCCATTAGTATCATATTGCTTTTTTATTCTTTCCAAAAAATAAAATCCATGTTGGCTAGGCAAAAATATAAAGAAATTGTGCTCCTCAATATGAGGTACCCAGTTAAGGTCAGTCAGGATTCATCTGTGCAAAAAATGACAATATATTTCCAGTTTTAACCACTGCAACCAGCTGAAAATTCTGATCCACATTGCATGGATTCCTTTCTGGGAGGGACTTGGAGTACAAAATAATAATAAAAACAAACCCTTTTTATTAATTCAAAGATAACAAAAGTTCTTGTAAGGTAAATAATGTATTTAGCATGAAGCATGAATTATTTTCATATAAATATAGAAAAATAGAAAAAAGGCTATGCCTCTAATTTTTAAGCCCTTAGGCTTAGTTTGTTTTTTGGGTTTTTGTTTTTTTGTTTTTTCCTCTCTTTTTTCCCTTTTCCCTTTTTTTTTGGAAGCAGGTGTTTTTTAAGGTTTAACCTTTTTCAGGGATAAATACTGACTGTTGGGGAACTTACTCTGCAATATTAAAAAATAAAACTTCATGCTCGGGTAGGGCTTGGATGGTTGAATTATATTGCCTTGTCTGCACATTCAGCCCCCTCCCCCTACTTCTCTGTTTTTTGAACACGTTTGTCCTTTCTTTGTCTTTACATGTATTAAAACATTACGCAATAATTTCGAGGGCAAGGCAAGTAGTGAGTGTGTATGATTTTAAGGAAGACGGTGGAAGACACTGAATTGTGAACGGTGGGGAAAACTTGGCCATTTGATTTGGGGGAAGACGATGACCACACAGATCTGCTCATCTGCCAGTGAGGAAACAAGTAACGAAAGGGCTTTGGTTTGAGTTCATTGGGGCGGTTTAAGTGATGCATGCTGAAGACGTGTTCTGTTTACAGCCATACTTGGTTTGTGGTGATGGCTCCATTAGCAGATTGAAGGCTTTGCAATAAGGCAACCTCTTCCGACTGATCTTTCATTTTTCAGTTGCAATGGTATCAAAGGCCATAATCCTGGGACTTCCAGTCCTATAGGCTGTGATCCATGGCTCGGCACATGGACTAGGTCTCTAGGGGTCCACCATCCTAGCTGTGGGTCACCATAGGAAAAATGGGGTTCTCCTAGAGCAGCACAACAAGTTGCAGCCAGAAAGAGAAATTGGCAACCTCTCTCTGGAGCGGATTCGGCATGTGTAAGAGACTCTTTGGGTTCCAGACCTGTAGGTAGACTGAATACAGCTTTACACTGAACAGAAGTTGTGTTTTTTGCTGTTTCGGCGCTCAGGGTTTTTGCCTTGTGTTGGGCTTTGGCAGGAAATGCTGAAAGCATCTTAGGGAATTCCGCTTTGCAGGCTTGGATATTCAAGAAAATGCATACAGTATGAGTTAGATGCTCATGCCAACAGACCTGTGAAATATTGGGAGTGTCGAATCAGGCTTGGAATGACGCAGGTCCATCAGCAAGTTCAGCCGATGTGTTACCAGTTCTCTCAATACGTCCGCGTCTGCCAAAAGAAGGGGGGAGGTAACACTTGCCTAAAGAGAAAAGAAAGCATGTCAATCAATTTAAGGGTTTTCTCTCTGAACTAGAGTGCCATATGCCTGTTTCTTTTAATTGCCATGGAGTTCTACCAAGCATGAGCAAAATTTTAATAGTAAAAAGATGTGGTAGCCTGTTTGGTGGAATGAAAAAGATATTCCACCATGAGCCGGAAGACAAAAATGGGAACAGTTCTTAATTCTGATTAGTATTGATTATGCCAATATTTCCATGCTCGAATCAGCACTGTAGCCTATATAGACAACCAGTGGAGTGTAGCATGCTGAAGAAATTCTTTCTTTATTGCTCATTGTCTAGAAACTTAATCTTGGAATTGACAGGAATTCTGGCTTTGTACTGGGTCAGTCCTCAATGCAGAGAGTCTTTGCCTAAGCCATGCGGGGGGGGGGGAGGGAATGAAGATTGCAGCTGTAGATTTATGTCACATTGCTACATCTGGGCTGCCTGCGCACACACACATACGCACACCCCCTCCCAGTAAATACATCTGTAAACCATGGACTTCCAGCAGGTGCACTGCAAGCTGAATTACAAATTCAAGGGTCATTGCACCTGCTTGTCCTCTAAATAGGGAAAACCCCTCAGGCCCATCCTTTGCACAAGTTTAAAAAAATGGTCGCTGTGCAAGTCTTGCGCAACTGCCTTCCTTTCCGTGAGGTTTGAATGAGGCTTAATGAGGCTTGTTTAGAAGAAACATCATTCCTTAAACACATTTTAAATCACGCATGTGTCCCTCTTCACCCTCTGGTGCCCTTTGGGGCTGTTGGGAGTCTTTAGTCCAAAAAATATGGGGGGCACAAGGTTGGCAAAGACTGCTGTAGTCTGCCTTACACTTCTTTGACATGGAGGCATGCTAATCATACATTTTGCTTAGCAACACCAGTGTAACCCAGAACAACTTCCTTTTCTCCAGTGGTTCCTTTGCAATAGATACTCCACCATTGATAGCACAAATGTTTTGTGTACAAAAATGCCTTCCCCCTTGCATTTTGATGGACTGTTTTACCATTTACCTTCTTTCTGGTAAGAATGGTCCACAAAACAATTAAATAATCTAATTGGACAGTACTTAAAAAATAAAAACAACAACCCAAACTTCAATTTCACCATGGAGATTCAAGTTCCATAATGATATCTGTACATGAATCAGGCACCCAAAGACTTTGGGCTTGGAAGCGTTTGCAGGTGATGTAGAGCCAAATATTCAAATGTTTGTGTCCACAACATACTTTTACTTCTATCTAGTTTTGGGATTCATTGCTATGCTAATCATCCTGTGAGTAGTACCAGACCTCAGCTGTGGCCTGCCTACAGTGTTCAGGGCAATATATAGGGAAGGTGGGAAACACAGTGTTTACATCTGTAGCTAATCTACTACAGCAATATTCTTCAGATAGAGTGTTTCATAAACAGGAAAGAGCAGTTCTGATATGACTCATTGCTTACAGGAATGAAGGAGCACTGTTCAACAGATGAGGCACAATTAAACCAAAGTTCATCAATTGGTGCCATAGCTTTCCCACTGAAATTAAAGTACATGCTCCACTTTCCTACTAAAAGCCACAGAGACCTAGGCACTCCTTACTTTTAAGTGAGTCATGCCCCATTTATTGACCATCCATGGGTCATAGCTTGAGTAAAAAAAAAATTGTCTGTGCTGGGTGCTTCCTTTAATCATCACTGTACAGAAAGCAATTGCAGATAATCTTTTTGCAAAAGATGTCATGTTACCTATTCTTGGAGGCAAAGGATGTCTCATTTAAGTATCCCAATTAAGTACCTAATTCCTATTAGTAATGGTTTTGAAATGGAGAAGATCCGATGAAAGCTTGGCTTGTCTCTTGCACAGCCACCTCCAATAAACTGTCATCTTTTATACAAACTCCAGTGTTAGGTCCTACAGTGCCAACTTCTCACTTTGATGCCAAAAGTGGATTAAAGCAGTTGGGTCCAATTATATAGACTTCAGCTGCAAGGATGTGCTTACTTCCATTCAGCACATGGTGGATTGTTTCCTCCACACTTCTTGAGCTTCTTACCTGTGTGCCACAGCCATTTTGAAAACAGTGCACAGTTTTGGAAATACTATTTTGGAAATACTTGATTATTTGTTAGAATTTAGATGGGGATTTTTTTTTTAACAAGAAAAATCTCAAGTCACAGAATTCATGACAACTTATGTATTTTATACACAAATTCTTCCTGTTTTGTGTATGACCATTTTACTGTGGAAAGTACCTGTAATCGAGGGTTTTTCATAAAGTTGGATGTAAAATGTTATCATAGCTTCGGTGCTGAAAATTTGTGGGCATGATCCAGACACCGCACAAGCCCAGAGCATATTCTGATAGAGGTAGCATCCAGAGGACTCATGGACCTTGCACTGCAGGATCCGAGCTAGCACTAGGCAGGTGAGCAACTTGGCCTCTTGTACTGTACAGAACAACAGTCCAGTAAGTCCTTGACTCCCATGGGAGGCTGAGAAGTATTTGCTCTGTCTTGGAGCACTTAACGCATGCCTCAGAAGATGCAGGCCCTGCTCAGCTGCATCCTTCCTCTATCTAGACCTTCAGATAGTTTGAAATGGGATAACATCTCAGAAGGTCTTCAGGATGCATGGATGGGGTACAGAGGTCCTTGCTGAGCTGGCCATTCTTTGAGCAGTGATGAGGATGCTCTGCCCATTCACTGTGGCTGAATTCAGGATTGGGGCAGGTGCATCCAGTTTCTCTTACGTAGCTTCCAAAGTACTCGGGCACTTGGGTAAAGCCTTTAAAATAAGAAAATGTTTAATGTATGCCACCAGTTTTTCCAGGTTCGCTTACGTTTATTAAATTCTTATCTTACAGTCTGTTTATCATCCACGTTAACAGATGCACAAGCAGTTCTCTGCAAACCTTTCTGACAGCCAACCTGACGCTGGCTGCTTTCAGCAAGCTTGTGCCTCTCAACATGTTTTCAGATCCTCCTCAAAGAGCAAATTGGTGATAGAACTGCTGCTACACCAGTGAATCAAGGGCTCTCTCATTCACTTCTTTAGTGGTGAAAGGTGTATGTGTGTTTTGCACACTTTGAGCAGTCCCCAACACAGAAGCAGATGAACTTAGCCTCAGCTTCCACACAAGTTCATGTGCATGGTGAAACGGTCTGGATTGGGGCTGATGCAGGCACATCCTTTGTCCAAACTAAACATAACCCCAGTACATGGCAGGCATAATGTAGTGTATAATCTCAGTGTAGTGGGGCAGAGCTTGTGAACCATGGGGTGGCTGTTGAGGCTTGCTGGTCACAAATATTCGCTCTGAGCTTGTGGCATGCATTGCCCTTGCTGCGTTACATTTGCATGTGGTCTTGGGTGGCTTGGCAAGATGGCAGTCACATCTGTAAAATGCTACAGGCCAAATGGTGGTGATCAGTGCCATTCACTGTTCAATTCTCAGTTACATACCAGTTGGTTTTCCCACTCATTCTGACCATCTGCCTTCAAACTGGAGGATAGGAGGGTGATTAGAGAGCCCAGGTAACTACTGTTAAAAACAAAGGGTGCACTACCAGTTTATACCAGGAGATTATTTGGCTCTGGATAACCTGCAAAAAGACATTAGGTTTTGACATTAATATTAGGCAATTGACTTCAGTAAGCTGCCCAGCTAATAGTTTTGTTTCCCATGTTTGTTTTTTACCATTTAAAAAAAGTATTCTTCCACCTGAGACCAGGCTCATTCATAGTCAAGTCTGTGAGTGTTCTTGCCAGCTCTCCCTATAATATGTAAAACACTGTTATGCACATAAATGCAGCACTGTGATCTAATTTAAATAACCTTATTATACTAAATATTTAATATACTTTTAACATTTTGCTATAGTGATAATCTTCTGCCAACATCCAATGTCTCTTTGCTTTCTATTGTAGGGAATAAAAAGATGCTCTTAACAACACCCAGTTTACTTTTCCTTTGCAGAACGCATAAATCCATTTATCGTTTTTGGTGTAGGCTTTGTATTAACTGGATGTAGAAGAAACATTTAGTCTATGTGGTTCGTATGAACTTTTCTCATCGCATCTGTTCATACCCCGTCCCTTTGATTGTAGTAATCAGCCGCAAACCAGGAAGGGAAGCATTTTGGTAGGAATACGCTCAACCTTTTTGATGCTCTTATTTTTTTCCAGGGATGAAAGTTCAGAATCAGTGGGTTGATTTTACAATGTTAACTACGTCCACGCAATCCTATTAACTCAGCAAGCAGCCACTTGCCTTGCTGACTAGAAACCAAAACCAAAAGTGAGTAAACATTAGCACATGCAACGATAAACCATGGTTTAATGCTTCCATGAGCCTGAGAGAAGCGACAGCCTTACACACTCCCCTCTCTTCCTTGTTAATAGATAAGTGGAGGAACATGGTTTAGAACATTGGTTAATGGCCAAACAAGTCAACTTTAAACTGTGAGTTAGGAAGCTGGCTTGTTTAACTAACCGTTGTTTGTTGTACAGCACAATCCCCCATTTTGAACATCATGCTAAATCAAGCTTCTTGAAAAGCTAATTTAAACTTGGAAGAAATTCTCCTCTTGGCTATGCAGGAGGAGGGGTTTGTGGAAGTTTGTCCACCTCGCACCAAACCATAGATTTTTACATATGTGAACCAGGCATCTGTCTGTGATGCTGTGCTTCATTGGTCTATGTTTAAAACCACAAAAGTGGTTTAATACGGACTTCCTTATAGATGCACATGCTATCAAGTTGCACTGCATTTTATTTCTAGTGAGTACAGGGGAGAGACTTGACAAATTAGAATTAGTAGTTCTAGGAACTCCACTTAAGACCTTGGCTTCAACAGAGTGGGTACAAGAGAACCAGGGCTTTGGACATGTAGGCTTTTTAAGAAAGTTGGAATCACATCCATCAACTTTTTTCTTGGAAGGAAGGAAGCTCCCCACAAACAGCCAACTGAAAGGATTTCAGCTTTTTTTTTAAAAAAAGGGGGGTGTGACACACAAGTGCTGCCCAGGCTATTGAATTGGGGAGGAGAATGATGTATTTGCACACATGATTTCATGTAGCGCTCAGGATCTGCATGCAGAAGTTGGATTAGGGTGTCATTGAAATGACCGTGAGAACTCTCTGCCCTTTTACTGAATTCAGACTTCTGATATGACTGGTATGTTTTGTATGATGTGACTTTGCTGACTGTGGCTTGAAAGCTGATAATTTTCTTTCTCTGGTTCCAGTTCAGAGTGAGAACTTAGTGCTTTTTGAAAAAAGTTTATTGATAAGTTTTTCCTCTCCAGCCCTTCCCTAATGCACCCAGTATTTTGGGGAAACAATTGTTTTTGCTTTACCTGTTTCGCGTCTGCATTATACACACTCACTACTTCAGTTTGCCTTGGTGTCAAATGTTGGAAGGGATGGGGATAGGGAATGATTTCTGAGTGTATGAAAAGCATTATGAACTTGTACATTTTTATACTCTTCTGTAATATTTTTGAAATATTTCTTTTGTTCTGCAGGAAAAAAAAGTGATGAAGCAATCAAAAGACCAATAAGTACAATATCAATGCTTTAGGGTCATGAGACCTTCATTGGCCAATAGATTAATTTAGTACAGCAATAAGCCATTTTTCCCTCTCTTTTTTTGTTTCTGTTTTTTAATTCCTCTTTTGTTTTTGTTTTTAATGCTGTACTAGGTAAATGGAACTGCCAGTTTCATTGACATAAAATGAGAACTGTGATGGGGGGCATAAACAGTGATGTTAAGTTGTATTTGTGTTTACCTAAATGAGCAGTCGAAAGGCAAGTGCAATCAGCCAGAAATACAAGGAAAAAAACGTTGATCTAGAGGCATACTTGCATTTTATGTTTCTTGATGTGTAATCATATTGCCAAAGACAAACTCTTTCATCAGTTATTATTGTAAATAACACTTTCCCAAAACCTACCATAAAGTTTCTGTGATGTATTGTCTTCCAGTTGCAATAAAAATTACTGAGTTGCATCAATTGAATAATTGCACTTACGGGTGTTGGCTTTTATTGTTTCATTCATTCATTCATTTATATATATATATTTGCTGGGCCCTTGTTTGAGGCAGGCAATGCTGCTGAAGAAGCTACCCAATTTAAAACATCCTTATTTAATTTGGATTACCCCAGGACCTGCTTTTTTCTTTTCTCAAGCAACCTAAACAAAGAGGGTTTGAAGAAATTGTTCCGCCATAGACGTTTCATGTAGGATACGGCTATCGGTGGCTGCTGGCTGCAATTGATATGTTTTGCCTCTGAATACCAGTTGTTGGGAGTCGCAAGTGGGGAGCACTGTTGGGATCAGGTCCTGCCCATGTGCTTGCCATAGACATCTGGTTGGCCACTGTGAGAACTGGATGAGATGGGCAATTGACTTGATACAGCAGGCTCTTCCTATGGTTTTTATTCATTTATCACATTTATTCTCTTCCCAAGAAAGGAGTTTTGGAAGATGAACAAAGGGTCATCCTGTTCTACCTTCTCAACAATCCTGAGATTGGTTGGATTGGGAGGTGTGTGACTAAACTCCACTGGCTTTGAGCAAGTCTGCAGGAGAAGGTAGTTCATATTTGTAGGGCAATCACTACCAGCTTTCCTTGGACTTGGCACTCACATGGCATTGCCCGGAAGCAACTCCTGCCTGATCATAAATCCTTTGGAGAAAAAGAGGTTTTGAAGTATTGGACTATGAATTAGCTATTCTCATGAATTTACTTTTAAGTGTTGTTCATCTTGAATGGGTTGTTGCTGACTCACACAAGTGTGAGCCTTCTGTTTTCACCATCCTAGACATCGTCCATACACTTTCCTCGTTATTTTTATATTGCCAGAGGGCTGACAAATTAATTGAAGACATTACATAGTTGGCTTTTCTCATTGCACTGCTACTTTAGTGTATCCACTTTCTTTAGTTAACAGTGTTTGGTATCAGATTAACCATTAAGAAGTGGGCACTGATTCAGGAGATTAATACACTTGCAGTCATACATTCATAATTAACGTCCAAATAAATTATTTTGTATTAATATGCTGTTCACCACTTGGGGGGCCTTTCGGTCAAAAAGCTGTAACAAGGGCCATGCAAAAGGCCTCTATACCAACACAAAGAGGGCCTTGTCATATCCCACTGTTTCAATAATAAGAATAATTTTTTTATTTATACCCCACCCATCTGGCTGAGTCAGAAGCAAGAAGACCTTATTCACTGACTTAAGCACTAGGAAGTTGACATCAGATTAGCTCAGACAAGTCCAAAGTACTTTATTTTATTATTAAGCTTATTTGCCAAGTCAAGTCAGACTTTAGGAGTTACCAATCTAGCCAGCTCTCCTCATCCCGCTCCCCACACCTCCCAAAATATGGTGTGATGTTCAAGATGCCAGCTCAAAAGAAGGGACTCATGGACTCCTGTACTGGCTTTACAGCAGCAGTAACCAAGTTGTGGACTGCAGATGCTGTTGGCCTACAACTCCCATCATCCCTGACATGTTGGTTGGGGCTGATGGGAGATGGAGTCTAGCAGTCTCTGGAAGGCCACAGGCTCCTCGCCACCATATCTGCAGACTTTCCCCCCTCCAGTCCAGCAAGAGTCATCAGAATTTAAGGGTGCATGCCAGCCCCTGTGAAATACAGGTGGTGACAGGTGTGGCCTGGGGAGAGATGGTGGAAGGGAGGAGTGGCCCAGGGAGGTCCCTAGAGGCCAGATAGAAAGGCTTGGGGGCCACCTTTATCCACCAGCCCTAAGGTCCCCCACTGTGTTATAAGATGGGACTGCATGCCACCCCTTCTTCCCTTGTCCCACCACTGGTGTTGAAATTAGGTCTGACTGCCAGGCCAGTCATCCCTTGTACAGGAAAATGCTGTCTTATCCTTCAGATCAGGCAGTTCAGTGTCATGGGCCAGTCCTGGCTGCTTGACTCATTCTGTCTAATGGTAGGGCCAGCCCTGGCTGAAGTTAGACCACAGTAAGGAGCACTCAACTTGGCCAATATGGAGAAAGCAAAAATTCTAAAACTATTTGAGATTTTTATTTTTAGCATCTGACGTGGGGGTGGGGGGTAGCATTCCTATGCATGTGGCTGATGGGGACATTGAATTGCACTTTTCTCCCCCCCCCCTTTTTTTTTTTTTTGCTGAGCCATAACACCACCTTAGCTCCCTGTGTTTTTAGCTGATTAGACAATACACATGCAGGATGAGACCCCAGCCCTCTTCCTAGGGTTGATTTGGAGAGCACACCAGTCTCATTGCTCATCAAAGCACAAAATGTTCTCCCTGGTAGAGCCAGTGTATTAATAACCAGCAAAAGCAAGTAACTAATCATTTATTGCAATCCCATGCTGAGTGGGCTTTTTAAAATAGATGACAAAGTGGTTTCCCTACCCGCTTTGACCCTGCTTTCTGTGTGATTTCCATTGTGAAAATGTTAGGTTTCTGCAGGAACTGCATTGACCGTGTTTACATTTGTTTACTTAGCAGGGCAGGCAAACAGCGAATGGTACATTAACAAAAACACACAGGGCATCCTTGAATCGTTCGCCCTCTCCTACTTTGCACAGATACACTCTTAAAAAACACGGAGCATAGACCTTGGTTTGAATCACACCAGTCACAGAGATCAGCATGATACGATGATGTAAAATTAGACTGCTGGCCTTGCCTTCTGTGTGTCAATAAGGGCTCTTATTTTAATCTAGGTCACTGGTGATCTAGGCCAACCGGCAGCACTGTTTCCACTTACAGCAGGTATTTGGGGCACAGCTGGGGAAGATGGCCTGAGCACTTGCCTCAAGCATTCAACAAAGCTGGCCCTACCATTGGGCAGAATGAGACACCTGCTTCAGGTGGCAGATTCTGAGGGCCAGGGAGTGAAGAGAACTCTGTTTGCCTGCTCTATACTTCCTTAGCTAGTCTGCTGCCCTCAAGTGTAGTGCAGGACATTGTCTATGTGCCAGTGATGGAGGAAGATTCAACTACCAATCTATTGTCTCTTACCCTAGGCAGCAAATTGTCTTGAGCCTGCCCCTATAGCCAAGCTCATCCACCCAGTGACCATGTGAAAGAGGGGGACTGGTCCAAGGTCAACTAGTGAGTCTCATGGCTGAGCGACGTTTTGAACCTGGATATCCAACACACTAAATTCATTGATTTTTAAAGCTTACGCATGAAGATTAAGTAGTATCTCTTTATTTGCATGTTGTTGTTGTTTTATTGTTTAGTTGTGAGAGCTGGACCATAAACAAGGCTGATCGCCGAAGAATGGATGCTTTTGAATTATGGTGCTGGAGGAGACTCTTGAGAGACCCATGGACTGCAAGAAGATCAAACCTATCCATTCTGAAGGAAATCAGCCCTAGTGCTCACTGGAAAGACAGATCCTGAAGCTGAGGCTCCAATACTTTGGCCACCTCATGAGAAGAGAAGACTCCCTGAAAAAGACCCTGATGTTGGGAAAGATGGAAGGCACAAGGAGAAGGGGCCAACAGAGGATGAGATGGTTGGATAGTGTTCTCGAAGCTACCAACATGAGTTTGACCAAACTTCGGCAGGCAGTGGAAGACAGGAGTGCCTGGCATGCTCTGATCCATAGCGTCACGAAGAGTCGGACATGACTAAATGACTAAACAACAACAACATGTCCACACCCACCATTGCTATGGCATTATAAGCGCACTGCTCTCTTGTGTATTTTATATGCATTTCACAGCAGCGCTCAGTTCCTGCTGACTGCTCTGAATTGTGGATATATTCCCACCATATGCTTATCTGAGAGGACAATTGCCTTACATAACCTCAAGAAGTTGGAGTCTAACCCCTTGAAATGCCAGACCCTCTTGAGGTCTTGTTCTGTGTCTTTGTTCAACCAGGAAAGTAAACAAATGGGGAAAGGTTAGGCTTTTGCTGTTGTTCCCATGAATGAAACAGCTAATCGCTCAGACATTTAACTCTCCTGGGCAGGCAGAATTTGCACTGTCGTGCTCCTCCCTTCAAATCTGCCTGCAGTGAAATTCATGTGCTGTGACAACAACACATTGAGTAAATTGCTGAATTCCACCCACAATCTCCTTGCAAGTATACAACCAACCACACAAAATATGGGTGGGAATAGTTCACATTAAAAAGGCAGCATGCCGGGCTGCCAGCATTGAAAGTCCCTAAGTAAACCATTTAGAGGTTTTGATGATTAAGTGGGATATAAATCCTGTTAAATGAAAAAAAATAAGTGCTGTGACAAAAGGACAAATTGATAACCTGGCATCAGCAATCAGGTCTTCGAGTATTTTTAACAAATGTTTTGGAACTAATGTGTGCAAAAGTGCTTTGAGAATTCATTACCCATCCCTCCTCTGTGCGGTATTGGAATGCAAGATCTCAGGAACCATCATGCAAAATCTGGTTATGATATCTTCAGGTGCCATAAAAAACAGACAGTGAACTTTTGAAAATGTATGGCAGCAGATTATGAATTACTTTTATTTTATTTTAAATACTTATACTGTAAAGTGCTTTAATATTAAAACTCCCAAAGCACTGCACAAAAGAATAAAAAGGATGTGATTCTGTATTAGTGTGGCAGCATCTACCCTATGCAACTCCCTCCCGGTACCCATCAGACAGGCGCCATCTCTATTGTTTTTGCAGCATATGTTGTAGAATTTTCTCTTTCAACATACCTTGTAAGTGGAGGTTGGTTGGTTGGTTGGTTTTAAAAAAGCAAAGTCAGTATCTGTCCTGGATTTGAATCTGGTTTTTTAATACGTAATTGTTTTACCAGTTTTCATGCATGCCGTTGTTATATATGCGACCAAGATGACAAAAGGTCTGGAAATCAAGCCTTATGAGGAACTGTTGAAGGAGCTGGGTATATTTAGCCTGGAAAAGAGGAGACTGAGAGGAGATACAACAGCCATCTTCAAATATCTAAAGGGCTGTCACATGGAGGATGGAGCAAGCTTGTTTTCTTCTGCTCTGGGGAGTAGGACTCGAACC